AATTTTTGAAATAATTATAAAATAATAATATTTTGAATGAAATAGTTATAGAAATTATTACAAGTACAAAGTATATAATGGCATAATTTTAAATTAAATATAGCCAATAAATTAAAGAGATAATTTTAAATTATTATTTATATATATAATTTAAATATTAATGTGTTTAAATTAATAAGTAGTATGGGTGTGGTTCGAAATTAGAGCACTCATTTTAGATTTGGCAATTAATGTGGAACGGTTATCACTTCTCCTTGTAGGGCCCCTCCACTTTGTTCTTCCCCTTTTCCCCACAGTATATTATATTTTTGTTAGGATGAAGAGAAATGAAAATATTTAAAAAATAAAAGAAAAATTATATCGCTTAAACAAATATTTTTTGTGATTATTAGTATATTTGTAGTTGATAAATGATAAAAAAATCTGAATGAAAAAGCATCTACTGCAATTATCTGTTGGCATGAAACTGAAAGTCACAAATTTCAAAGCAAATTAGAACAGATATAACACAGATCACATTCAGTTTATTTCAGATAGAATAGTAGTTAGGTTGCATGCCTTTCTCTTTTTCTTAGCTTCCATGCATCTTGACCTATATAAATACATGGTTTACAACATGTACCGTTAACTCAATTCAAATAATAACAAAAATACGTTCCTCTCTACGTATCAAAATGTCCCCAAACAATGAACCAAAATGAGGGAAAATGAGATAGCTCTGAAGCAAAGAAAAGAGAGATCCAACTTAACTGCTAGCTAAAATGATTTTCCAATTTTGTTTACACACCAATAATCCTTCTTTTTTTATAACAGGATACTCATGTTCCGATATAGTCACATGTAAGTTTTTATGTAGCATAGTTCCATTTTTCTCATTGGATAGAACAACAGCGGTGCAAACAAAAAGAAGGAAACAAAAAATTTCTGACCAATAGTGGGTTGTTCACATTGTATAAGAGAAAACGTTAATCCATTTTCCACTTCCGTTTGGAGAGATCCCACCTGAGAATCATGAGAAGGACGGGACCAAATTGAAATAAGGAAATTTTGAAGAAAGAGGCAGTAATAGTATTAAAGGCCTCCCTAGATGAAACATGGCTCTCCAAAGGGGACACACATTATTCTCTTCCTTTCAATAACAGCACAAAACATTCACAAGGTTATCTCGGTCCCCCTTATTCAGTCCTATTATTGAAGAATACGACATCTAATTTGGAGTTTCAATCAAGTTGCAATATAAGATAAGTCTTCAGCATGTTTCGGGGACCATCTCTGTTACATTGCATGCAGCCTGTTTTTGTATTCGTATATGTATATTTTTGTGAGGGGACCTTTCAGCATTTATACTATATCAATGTTAATCAATACACGTACAGTAGCATAGTAATGGAAAAAAACAAAAGAAAATAAAAAAGGAGAGGTTTTATTAATTTGGAAATTCGGGCATTAATTTTTTTTTTTGTGCAATTTCTTTTTTAATTTTCATGCAATTGTGGCCTCGCGGGGCATGACATGAAGTAGATTATATCCCATTATATATGGCTCTTGCTACCTCATATGAAGTACAAGAATGAAAATATATGGTGCACCCTCATTCAAATGATGTCACACAGCAACTACTACCCTTAAATCATGCAAAGATTTTTTGACTATGGGATAAACTACAAACAGATATTTGGGATTTCTTCGGTTCGAAGGGAAACATGGGCTGTGGTTTTGACCTATGCCTTCACACCCTGTCTCAAATGAAACATGCTAAGTGCTAACTAGCTTCGTCTTTATTTTCCGGATGCCTTATTATTCAACTTTAATTATATTCAGTTTGAATTGGCACCTACCACAGTCACGTTCTTTAATTTCACATCCTATCGTCAGGTCCTTTCAATGTCTTCAATGCAACAATGCACGTACGTAATCCTGAAATTTTCTTCACTAAGTTTTCAATTTCTTATAAACTGACACCATAATCCAGCTCATGCACAAGTGCTTTTCCAAAGCTGTCCTTTTTGAACTCTTTTGGTTGTATTAGTTTGCTTAGGCTGTCCACAATAATAACATTTGTAATCATATTTGTTGACTAATCACCATATGGATAGAAAGAAAAACAATAAAATTGAAGTGGATCTTACTTTTTTTCTCCCCTGCTAAGAGTGAGATACATCTTTTACTTTCTTTTCCACGAGACTTGCTAGCTTTTTGACCATCGATAATATTCTTATTATAGTTTAGCCTTTCGTTTTTCATGCAATCTCCTTCTTGCTGTGTTTCATTTTTGGACACCCCGCTTTTCCTTTGTCACAACAAAGATTTCTTTTCTATTCCACCTACTTTAATTTGGATTAAAAAAAGCAAGTAAATGCAATTAACTGTCACTTCCATTTGCACCGTTTTTTGTAACCTCTTAAGTTTCAGTCTGATAAATCCTTAAAATTAATCCTCCCCACAGTAATAGTAGTATAATACACATTTTAAGTGTAACATCTATAACTAAAATTAATTTAAATATATCCCTCAATTACATTTGATAATTTAAAATTATAACAATAACCGATATAAATTTTCTCTAATTTTAAACTAAATGGACTAAAGCATTAAGCTTATATTTCCCAAGCGAACAAATCTGTTGATCGACGATTTATTCGACGAGAATTTTACCAGTTTCAGAGATGCATAGTTCATTAATGGGAAATAGTACAAATATGTTATACATTCTTCCTCGTTTTGTGAGAAAAAGTAATTGGGAGCTGAAGATTTTATTTGGATTTCCATTTTCAAATTGAATTTTATATAACCTGAAATTTGATTTAAATTCATTTTAAAAAGTAATTTTTGTTTATAAATTTTATTTCAAAAACAATTTATAAGAGAACTTTGTGTATAATTTTAAAAAACATATGTGTTGTTTCCATTAAAATCATGTTCAACCTTTTTTGTCAATCAAATATTTTTAATCCAAAAATCTCGTCTAAAACTTACAAATGTAGGTTCGGCCTCACTGAATGCCAAGCCAAACTAGAGTTATTTCTTTTTAGTCAGAGTAAATTACATTCATATTTTTAAAGAGTGTAAGACAAATATTATTGCGCTCATAATTTTTTTTAATAAATAATATTATAAAAATATACTCACCCCATTTCAAAATAGATATCACTTGAATATACATAATATTTAAAAAATATTTATTACGTTTTTAGTAATACTTTTCTTCATTAAAAATATTTTTTATCAACTAATTACTAAATTTACTCTAAAATTAGTTATTACTTAACTACTGTAAAAATTTTAACACTTTAATAAGAATATTTTAGTAAAATTATTTTTTAAAATAAGTATATTAGTATTAAGAGATATATAATATGAAAAAAATAGTAAAATGATAAATTTATAATTATTTTTTGCTTTGTCTTAGCGCCAAAATGCGCTTACAACGTTTCAAAGAAGTGAGACAAATATTATTCGGTTCATAAATTTTTTCAGCAGAAAGAAAAGTTTTAATGAAAAATACATTTCATATCTTAAAAATATGAAAACAAATAATATTGAAATTTATATTAATAATTGTTTTTTCCTTAGTCTTAGCACCAAAAGCGTACCCCCACTGCATGAGCAGCATTTTGTCCACGAAAACTATATTTATTAGCAACATTGATGGTACCGCCCTACCATTGCATTAATGATGATCCTCGTACAATTGTTGGATGCAATTAACAGTATGATTGAGGCTTTGGTTTATTAACAATCTGCAGTATGATGTTTAATGTTTTGGGTTTTAATTAACTAATTATTGCGCCTAAAGGCATGAGTATACAGTACCTGTATACCTAACCCCTCTATTTGACGTGGCTCCCCTACCATTTTGTAATTGTTAATTATGAGAATAACTTTTTAAAGACTATATGTTAATTCGTACTATTTATTAAAAAATTAAAAGTAATAATGTTTTATTAAAAATATAATATCTAATACTATTAATCTATTTTATTGTAATTTTAGATATTTTTTTATTCGTTAATCTCTTGGTCAATATCCTTAGTATTTGATAGTAAAATCCTTTGATTTGAAGAAGTTGTAAGTAGCTGGATTCCTTAACCAGATCACTCATTTACCCCACCATCATAGATCAATTTGCTAGAACCTGTCCTTTTCTCCTCTTGTTAAAACGGTGTTATAAAATAATTCAGATTATTAACGCATTATTAAAGATCATGCAGAGAAACAGCTATTCCCAACTTCAGGTTGGAACTACTTCCAGCTTTCCCGGCACTGATTCCTCGTTGTCGTCCCATATAATGGTCAAGAATCAAGAATAGTTGTGTAATCAAGCACAAACACTTACACACGAGGGAGACACACAAACACACGTGGGAAAGCACTTGATAACAGGATGACTCAAGTTGTGTTAAGGCTAGAAAGCATCCACGTCAAGACATGAAATCACTTTTACTGCATCCCATTATCTATCTCTTTGGATTTCGGCAATTGGAATGAGAAAAGTTGTAGAGATTTTTAACCACGTAGCGTCTTTTCTTTTTTCTTTCTTTATTTTTAAAATATTAGAGTTGTCTCAAGATAATTATGACAATTTAGCCAACCAGAAACTTTCATGCAAGAATCTCCACAATGATCACCTTTTCTTTTTGAATAAGGAATGGAGCATTTGTTGTTGTCTTTGATGAAAGATTAGATAAGAAAGGTTTATGCAATGATAGTGTTAAGCAGATTGAGGAACACACTAGCAAATAAAACCAGATGATGTGGTCAAAGGGAGTGGTCTCATTGCATTATTGGAAAACATTGAGCTGATTTTGTACTTAGCAGGACCTATAAAAGATGCAACTCCAAAAAGAAAATTCAATAATGCAAGGGCCACTTCCATATTGCCAAACATCATTTCACGGAATTTAATCATTAGTTCCCCTTTAATTAATTCTTTTCCCTCGAATATGCATATTTCTATTCCAGCATATAGCCAAAAGGCTATGTTTGTAAAGGCCATGTTACACTTGTTACATAAAGATGACAGATAAGTGGCCCCAAACCTGCCTCTCACTAATCCCCCAAATTCCTGCACTTAGGTATTGGCAAAATAGAAACGCCAAATGTTACTTCAAAACCTACCTTTTTCTCTCATCAACGATTTCTTCACAACCCTCCAAACACCCTTTTTCTTTTTTTTCTTTTTTTTTTCCTTCTTTCACATGCAGAACATAACATAACATGAAAAATGAAGGGTATTTCTCTCTTTTAAGTGTCGTTCCAAGCAGCAAAAACTGGCAAGTGAGACAAAGCAATAGCAGAAGCTGGTCTCATTTGCACTGCCGGTGATGGAAACCAAGAGCTAACACCAGTAACAATAGGGTTAACAATCTTTGCTTCCATTGGGGGCTTTGGAAACAGTAGTGAGGGACCCGTTTTATCAGGGCTAGGTTCTCTTGAGCTGCTTAAACTGGTAACCAGCGAGGACGGGTTTGAAAAATGAGTTCCAATCTTTGAAGACTCATCCAACATGGGCTGGCCAGAACCCGCTGAATCAATCCCAATGAGATCTTGTAGGGCCACAGAGAGTGCAGAGTTTCTATAATTTCCGCAGTTAATGGTTTTTTGGTCACACCCATTTGACTGTTGCTGTGAATGGTGGTTGAACAAAGCCATTTTCCACTGTGAATCTTTCTCATTGTTGTTTCTAGCTTGAACCGCATCCACATTGTTCTGGCTTGTTACACCAATATTATAGTCAATGGCTTCTGTTCTTAGATCACTATCTTTGTTTCGCCTTGCCAGCTCCCCAGCAAGTAGAGTATTACTGGCCATGATCCTTTCAACATCGTATCTTGATATATCAAAGTTTGTGACTGCACTTACCCCACGGAACTTTATTGCAGCTACATCATATGCTTCAGCTGCTTCCTCTTGAGTACCTACATACGAATAAATAAATATATAAAAATAAAAAAAGAATTTTGTGCGAGAAAAAGGCATTTTCAAAATTTGAACTTTCCTTAGACCATTCTTGTCAAGATACCCTTTATCTATCATATTTTATCTGTAGGAGTAACAGCCTTAAAAAAAGTGCTATGTTGCATTCAAAGTAGCAATGGTCAGCCTTACAAAAGCACTTGTAGTCACTCGTGTTTGGGAAAAGAAAGATTGAATCATAAATCACATAGATACTCTATGAAGTTGCTTTTTTTTAAACAAAGTCTTGAGAATTAGCATTGTTAGTTTATAATTCGAAGGCTAAAATCCCTTGCAAAACAAGGATGTTCAAGGAATGGACAGTAATTTAGGAGGGCTTACTGAATGTTCCAAGGTAAAGGTCTTTGTTCCCAGCAACTCTGCCTATCCTTGCTTGCCATCTTCCATGTTGGTGGTGCCTAAATTATTTGAAAAAAAAAAAAACTCAACTAAAATCTCCAAATCAACAAAGTCCTTCTATTTCAAATAAAAAAAGGAGCAGGAGAAACGCATGAACCTTGTGACCCCTCTGTACATTGAAGCACCCCTTGAAAATCCGCTGCTTTTTCTGTAAATCAAATAATTCTTGACCATTATGAATATCATATAATAATGATAGGTAGCTTTTGCCTACATAATTGTCAATCAATCACGGTATTGTACCTCCTCAAGTGGGCAACGTATTCCTGCCTAGTCATATTCTTCATTTCTTCAAGTTCGGCTTGGTAATTTTCTAACTGTCAAAGTGAAGAAAAAGAATGGGATTCCGAGGCATAAAATATTCAAATCACATTATTGAAATATACCGGGAAATTAATATGCGTTGAAGGTCCCCAGTACTTAAGGGCTGCAAGATCATAGGCCCTTGCAGCTTTCTCTTCCATATCGTAACCCCCTTAAGTTTAAAAAAACAAAATTGTTCACGTAACAATTAGAAACAGTATCAATAGACTTGTAAATTCAAAGTCTTTGGTGTAGAAGAGAAGACTTACCCAAATATACTGCAAAATGCAAAGTTCGATTGCATTGTCATCCACAAGCGAAAAAACATTACAACGAGTTAGTGGGCAGAGGTCAGATTAGGGACCAAAAACTTTAATGGACAAGAATACTTCAAAAAAAAAACAAACATGTCAACTATTATTTTTAAAAATTTTGGTTCACTAAACCTTGTCTTCCTTTCCTAGTCTGCCCCTCCTTCTTGCAACTGTTATCCCACAAATGCGCTTCATATCTACCAGTCCATCTATGCCTAATGGAAAATATTCATCCACGGTTACTTAAAGTCCATCATAAAATAAATAACTGACTAGAGAAGAAAACTAATCAATTTGAAGATGGGAAAGAAAGTTTCAAAATGAACAAAACAGATGATTGAACAAACCTTGTCACGCCTCTATACTGAGATGTTCTCTGTCCAAATGTGTCAATGGATTTCCTATGCACTGGCTGCTTCTGACCCAGCTTAGCATGGCCTCTCTTTTTTGCATCCATAGCCACCGAGTCTGTCCCAGAAGGAGCAGTGACACAACTAGACTGAGAACCAGGACTCATAGACAAGCTTAGTGACTGTAACTCCCCACACCCTACTGTTCCAAGAGACACACGATCATTCCCTGTGCCACAGTTCATTTGCTGCTCCAGAGCCAGCTGAGCAGAATACTCCCTTGGAGCCACCCAGTTTTTCAAGCCTTCTTCTGTCATTTGAGGCATTTGGGTGCTGCAAACTGCAACTTGAGTTTCCTTTGTTTCTTCCTCTATCGGCGTTTGATATATCCCATGGCAAGCGAGTCCTGAAGAATAATAAGGATGTGATTGGACATTCATGTGCCCTTGTTGCCTGAAGGGTTCTGAAAGAAGGTCCAGTGAATGATCTCTGTTGGGTTGTGCTTCTGCATTTTGGGTGTTGTAATAGATGCTGTCTAGGCTCAGAGCCATTGTTTCCCCTCTTTCATGCCCTCCATATTCGTGAGTTCCCATAGTTGCACCACCTAGAAAGTCTTCCAGTTTTGGTGATGAAGTTGGCACCATCACTTCAATAATGGAACCAAGGCCATTAGGTAATTATTAAAGGGCCATACATAGCATAAAAAAACAGAATAACTTTTTAAAGCACACAGCATAATATTCTGAAGTTAAACTGAAAAAGAAAAAGAGAGAAAAAAAAATGGAAAAAGCCAACCAACCTTGCGTTTGTGATCTACCGAGAGCTTCCATGATACAAAGTGACCCATCTGACTTGAGAGGCATTACAGTCAAAGGAGAATGGAAGTTACTATTTTCTCCAACGCCATAACAGATTCCGGAGTTGCCTAGGTGAGAAGAGGATAAGTAAAAGGTTGTGGGAATAGTGTTAGAAATAGTGGCAGATGCAGAAGCCTGGGCTTGGTAGTGATGATGATGATGATGTTGTGGAGGACCAGAAGTAACCTCCATTTTCATTTGGGGTGAAAGAGAGAACCCCAACCAGTTATGATTGTTTCCATCATCGTTGTTACTGTCATTCATGGCCTTCATCTTCTTCCTTTTGTTTTCTTACTCAAAAAGGTTTGAAATTGCTAAGCTACCAGTGAGTATCTCTCGGCAATCATTGCCAGGCAAATAAACTAATCATCATGTTAAAAGAACAAAAAAAAGAAAGCTCTTGCCTCCTATGTATGCATATGAAGAGTTTGGTTTTGTTGTGTAGCTAAGGCAATGCAAGATTTTCTTCTCTACCGACCAAACTCATCGTGGTATGCGCTCACAATACCTGTCTCTCTCCGAACACAACAAAACTGGTCTCTTTAAACTAAACAAAAGGAATGAATCCTCGGCAAGCGATGCTTGGGGAGCACCCACTTCATTCCATAGGGATCTGTGTATATATGAATGAGAAAGACCACGTCTTTTGCCTCCTGTCTCACTTTTCTTTCTTTTTTCTTTAAAAACAAATCTTAGTTACCTTCGTTAGCGCCCCCACCTAGTTTTTTTTTTTTCTTTTTCTTAAACCCTACCTTAAACCCAGAATCACAGCGTCATATTAGTAGCTACCAAAGGCGAAAATCTCGAGGATGTTGAGAAGAAAGAGCGAGGAATGTAAATGGTAGGAGTTAATTAACTATTTTGGTCAGGTTCTGAGGCTCTCTGTGTCTATGTGCCTTGGAAACTTGGAAGAGTGTGAGATGAAGTAGCTAGCTGAATCTAGTGAGCATGACATGAAATGGGCATAGAGTGGGCTCGCAAGTGGGAATTGGGAAAGGCTTCAGATTTCAGAACTCAGATAACCATAAACTCAGCAAACCCTTTTATTTATTAATTAATTATATATTTTATTTACTTTTTTCATATTTTTTTTTACAGTGAGATAGATTTGACGGGAAGGACAGATCTGCCCATCCAGTCACCTCATACAGTACAAGCATTCTGCGCCACTCTGCACTCTGCATAACTCTAATTTCAAATCTATTTTAATCTATTGCTTCAAAATCTATCTCCAACTTAAAGACTGCACCAATTTGGTTCACACCTTTTTTATATTTTTCTTTTCTTTAAGGGGTGTTTTGAATTTTGTTCGGAGCTATAAATGAAAAAAGAAAAAAAAATTAATGAAATGAAATGGAACTTGAATGGCAGCATAAATGGGTAACAACCCATGGGGCAATGGGGATGTGGACAAAGAGAGGTTTATTTGGTGGGTCATGTGATCTGACCCGTGCTGACTATACGAGCCAATCTAAATTATCCTTCGGTGCCTTGTTTGTTTGACAGCAAGGGAGTGAGTGGTGAATGTCCCAACACATTTACCATACAACCCTGTACACTGTAAAGGAAACACGAATCTTCTTACAAGGATAAAAACAATAAGAAAAATATTAACATTATTTTTTTTCATTTTAAGCATTTGAATATAGTAAGGTTTTATAAAAAAAATTATATCAGAGTATAGCATATAATATAATAGATATTTAAAAAATGATAAAATTTTATTTATAAATTAAATATTAATTATATCAAAGACGTATAATAAAAAATTTTATTTATAGATATTTTTCTTTCTAAACAGATAAAAGAAAATGAAAGTAACACAAAACAAATATGGTGTTAATATTGTTTATAAATATTTTTTAATTTAAGTTAAATTAAAAAAATTTATACACTTTCTTTTGTATTAAAAAAATAGGGTTTTGAATATTTATATTGAAAAAACACATTTGTTACAGTAAAATTATAACAGTGTAAAAAAATTACTATTATGAATCGTTTTAAAAAATGACCTACGTTTATGTTGATTCAAACTTGTAATCTATTATGTTAATATGTTGTCTTACTCCACTTAACTTACTCCCTTTTAAGATATATTAATTTTGAAACCATTTATTAATTATAAAAATTTATTTAAATTTAAAAAATCAATATAATCGAATAAAAGTTTGTTAATTTTATTTGGTCTGGAGAAGCACTAAGAAGTTGTTATACTCTCTAAATAGAACATCCTAATCATATGCTAAAATAGCAGGGAAACCCTTTACCTTTTCCCTTTGTCTCTGAGCGTGTAGTCAACACCTACTTTCAGACAAAAAGAGGGAAGTGGGTCTCTCATACGCTTGAAATATTCCAGGAATGATGAGCCAAAGGGTCCCCAAGACAAACTTTACGTGGAAAATGTATTTTAATTCTTATCTTATTACAATCTCCTCTTAATCTTTATTAAACATTTTTCCATTCGCAAAAAATCGTTTTTGTGGATCGGATTGTGCATATCAATTTTTACACCAAAGATGCTTTGAATCAAACCTAACTAGCATCAAGATGTCGAGTTTACATAAATCCAAAAAGTTTGAATTTATTCTGCCATTTTTTAACAGAGTTTGCTGTGTATCACGTTTCCAAAGCTGTCTCCTCGCGAACAGGTTTGATATGCAATTTAGAAACCCCTTGCTTATGCTAAATCTCGTAAATTAAAATCTCCCAAAAAGCTTAAATTTTTATCAAAATATATGAATAATTTTATATTTAATATTGACGATGTCATTAAAATGATAAACGTTATTTAATGAATATGTAAGATATAACAAGGTACATATATTGACGCCATAGCTTTTCTGCTCTAGCAAAACAGGCCATTGTGTATTCATGCATTAATAGATATTGATTTTAGATGATTTCCTACAAGCATTTATTAATTTAACCTTATAATTACTGCGCTTAGTTTGCGAGCGCATTGTCCGTAACTTTTGTATATTCCTTGTTCTCTATTCTTATTTTGGGTGGTCAAAATATCTCCTTTCCGACTTTTTATTCTTAATTAAACTTTTTTGCTACAAGAGGGCAAATAATGGTGGGTATGAAATGCATATATTGAATGGTACTATGTTATGGTTGGCAGAGGAAGTAGTTTCTCGAGTGGGAAACTGTTTTACGCAGATTTTGCATGGAACTCTTAATTTTCATGGTCATGGAGACAAATTTTCAAATGGGAATGATTTGGGTTTGAACATTGAGGAAAGGTGAGTCCAAGTTTGCGAGGGAAAGGAAAGAAGAAAGGGGTAGAAAAAAAGGTTTTTGGGTGTGTGCGTGAGCACAGAGGTGGGAATGATTCGTTGGGCTATTATAACGAAATCATCACCAAATCCATGAGCACTAAACTTCCTTCACATTCTCTCTTCTCTCTTTCAAATTACAAACTTTTAGCAAAGCACTTGACCGTGCTGCCTGTCCATCATAATTCATTTCTCTTCTTTCACTTTCACCAACCTTTTCAATTAGCAGCAAATGTGGTAGACTTGGTAGGTTGTGCCACAGTGGTGCATATTTGTAATTTCATTCACACTTTAACTTTAACCTTTGTTTGTTTGTAAAATTTTAAAGAAACATAAAATGGAAACTGAAGGAGAAAAAACGTGAAGAAGATATAGTCTTTTACTTTTTTAGTTTAGAAGATAAAATAAGAAAAAAAATGACAAATTTATTTAGTCACATACTTACCCACTAATATATTCAACTATATAATAGTCATTTAATATAATCATTTTTTCCTTGTCTTTCGAAACAAACAAAAATCTATTTTTTTTCATTTAAATAATAGAAACTATTTTCTCTTTTTCTTCAAACAATACATAAATAAAAAAAACGATATTAACACACTTTAAGAAAAAATACACCGACATATATAACTTGGAATTTAGATAACGTACTTATAATTACTCTTTTCCATACTGAGGAAAAATTGTTTACTTTTACGCCGTTTTTATGGACATTTTTTCAAAGAATATTACTTTTGTATTTGAATATAAATTTCACCTAAGAGTATATATCAGAAATTATTAATATTGACAACTACTTGTTCTTATCTGGGTTAAGAAGCGTATGCATGATTCTTAGCTTTTAACATAAATGGGACTCTCACTTAAATTTGCATTCAAACACACTTAAAAACACGTTTGAATACTGGTTTTAAAGAATGATCTTCATTTTGAAGAACAACTGAATCCATAAAATGAATCTGGCGGGATTTTATATCACACAATTAAGAATGTTTGACATTAGTTCAACTTTTTTAATACATGAAGAATAACCCCAAGAAACAATATGAATTAAAAGTATACCAATTTGTATATTTTTTGAACAACCAGGAAAAAAATTGTCTTAAATAGAAAAATTGCATGGTTCACTTAGAACAACTGAATCCATACAATGAATCTGGCGGAAATTTTCATCACAAAATTGAGAATGATTGATATTACTTCTACTTTTCTAATATACGAGGAATAACCCCAAGGAACAACTTGAATTAAGATCTACCAACTAGCAGAATTTTAAACAAAAGGACAAAAATTGTCTTAAATAGAAACAGTGCATGGCTCACGTCTTTCGTGGTTTTCCTTTTAACTAGTATGAACAAACCCTCTCAGGATATATAGTGTATCTGTAAGCCCACAATTACAACTATAAAGTGACCAAATAAACCATCTTATGAAATTAGTTCTACCTAATAGGACAACCGCAAAATCATAATTTCGATGAGACTGGGAATTTTAAACTAAAAACCAAATAAAAGATAATCTGGGTCTTGCTTACATCACAATAAGTGACAAATATGCCCACAAGCATCAGAGTACTCAAATGTGAGTTTTGTTCGCTAAAAACTTTTAATTATCGATGAAATCACGATAGGTGCTACGTTAAAACAAACAGGCCCTGATTTAAATTGTCTTTATTATCCAAAAGCCTTGGTGCCTTCATATATATGTTTTTATGCGATTGCCAGTAACGGTGACATGATTCGTTTTAGACTGAAGGGTGCACTATCAAATTTTCATGTTTTCTCCGTCACACACGATAGGTTAAACACCAAATTATTAGTCTACTGACATTATGGATATAGAAGAAGCAAAAGCTAACAAGACAAAATTGAAACACTGTTCAGATACACAGAACAGTAGAATCAGCAGCCATGCATACAGAAAATCTGCAGTCATTAATAAACAATTCTAAGGACAGATATTCTTCCATGGGTCTATAATTTGATGAACATCCACATAAGTTTGGATTGAATATTCAAATTCGAGGTTAGATATAAAATTTACACCGAACTTTACTTCACAACCTACTGCAGGTGTTTTCTTCAGTGAGCAGACTGACACCAGCT